GGGATGGTAAATTTCAGTATATAATGAGTAAGCATTCATAACCCTACAAAAATCACAATTTGCAGAAATATGATGTAGCGGAATTTGCAGAATATGATATACAATTAGAATTTTGTTTATTTCAATCCCTAGTTTACATCTAGGTTTTGCAAATTCTTTGTAAATCATGTCAACTTTACATCTATTTTGGGCTCGATGAAAAAGAAGAAGAGAAAATTACACACCGTACAATACTACATGTAAATTTTAATTACATAAATGACACCCCATTACAAATATTAGCAAATATACAAGATCTCACCTTTATAATTGCAAAATTACCAAATATAAAAAACCTGATTAATAAAAATGGATTAATTTAAAATACCAATATTAAGTCACTGTAATTAAAGGTGATTTATCACCTTCCAATCTTAATGAGATTTATTTTCACTATCACGCAATCTCTCTCTCTCTCTTCTTCTTCTTTTTCTCTTTTTCTTCTATAATTCTATGCATAATTCTTTCCCTTCCCCTACAATTGATTTTTTTCTATTTTTTTTTTCGATAGGTCGAATAGTCTAATGTGTTTTATGTATATATTATGTATATAATGACAAGATTAATTTATCTTCTGTATATCTGTTGTCTATTTTATTTATGTCGTCTGTATATAATGAGTATATTTTCTATATATAAGTCATATCGAGTATTTTGTATGTATTAAACCGGAAAATATACTATAAATATATAGAAAAAATACGAGATGTAAATAATACAAAAAGTAAACATAAAAGGATTACGAAAAGATAAACTTATCAAGTTTATTTCATATATATGTAAAGATTTATATGTTTTCTGTTTCTCTTTTGTATATGTTCCGTATATATTACATGTTCTGTATGTATTTGATCGTTCTGTTCTGTATATTGGAAGAATAGGACCTTTGAATTTCAATTCCACGTCTTTCTCGCCGAGCATGATAAGAACAAAATCCTAATTATTAGGTAATATAGACTTACCTTTTCTTTTTGAGTTTNTACTTGAGTTTGATTCATTATGTGATATTATTTTTTCATTCAATGTATCATTATTTTAATGACTTTTACAAGAATCGGTGTTCAGGAACACATTAATCTATACTAGTACCAGTAGAGAAATATTTTAAATTTTAAATACATCTTAAAAGTTCTATTATTATTTATATATAAAATGAGACAATTTACTTGTCCGACTTATGTATCATATATTATAACAGTTTTTCTAATTCATATAATGATAGATTTAATTTATTTAATTGAGAAGTAATTTTATTATTTTCAATTAATATTGATTGATGATTTAATTTATATCATAAATTCAAATACTTATTATATATATATTATACACAAGCAATGTAGATGCGAAATTGAAACTCGTTAGATGATTTGATTTGTTATAAATGCAAAACAGATAATAGATATAGAAATTAATATTAATTTTTAAAATATATTTACAGTTTATAAGTTATAATCTAAAAGTTTTACTTATAAAAAGGGACAATAATTATATGGAGCCATCGGATGGTTCCCTTATGGAGCAATTCATAATTTTATGTATTGACACGTGGCCAATGTGTATTTATTGCAGGACACGTGTCAATATATCATTTGTTGATAGCTAAAGATGGTTCCATAAACCGAGCCATCCGATGACTCCATGGCAAAACTGTAAAAAGGGATAGAAATCAAGATCTACACGAACTATTTCGAAACACAAAACTCTAATTTGTGGAGCACCTATAGAGTTACAAAGCACTAGAAGTAGCTCTCAAATTAATAAAAGAATAAATGCATGATTTTATATACGGATTTATTAACTTCTCAACTCCATGCGCATATTTTAATTGTAGTGAATGTTAACAAAAATGTTAACTTGCCTGTCATTTGATCTTGACAATTTGAATCACCATTCACATCCTGCATTTCAGAAAATAATAATAATAATAATAATAATAATAATAAATATAATAATATACACAAAATTAATAAATATAAATATGATGAAACATTCATTGGATTTAGATATTCAAAATTCCAACATTTACCTTTACTGTTATTTTAGTACTGCAAAATATCAGTTTTTCTAATATTTTTAATGTGACTAATAAAAATAAATATCGAAACACATGTTTCTCATTTTTTTAGAAATAACTTTAATATTTAAATATATTTTTAATATGACAAAATATAAATTTAAGTATAATGCATATATATATATTGTATAAAATATAAATTATGATTTTGTATATAACATATTGTATAAAATATAAATCACTATACACGCGCGCGCGCGCACACACACACACACATATATATATATATGTGTGTGTGTTCTCATTAATTATGATTTTGTAGATAACATATTGTATAAAATATAAATCATTATACACACACACATATATATATAGGGATTGGTTCCAATGCATCCCATTATTTAAAGTGAGGACGTGAGACTCATTCCTAACCACAAGATTTAGATCTTGATTTAAATAATAATTCTTTATTTTTATTATTTAATTCTTTATTTTTAATTATACGACCATTGACCGTTGACTCCGGCGTTGACCGTTGACTCCAACGTTGACCGTTGACTTCCGGCGAAAATCGTTGACTTTCGGCGTTGACCATTGACTCCGGCGTTGACTTCCGACGTTGACCGTTGACCATTTGTCTTTTGTTATGTTATTTCTTTCTTGCTAAGTTAGTTGTGTTTTGTTGCTAGGTTAGTTGTTTGCTGTTGCTAGGTTATTTGTAGATGCTAGGTTAGTTGAGTTTTGTTGCTAGATTAGTTGTCTTAAGTTGCTAGGTTATTTTTTTTCTTGCTGCTAGGTTAGTTGTCTTTTATTGCTAGGTTAGTTCTTTCTTGCTGCTAGGTTAGTTGCCTGATGCTGCTAGGTTAGTTTTCTTTTGTTGCTAGATTATTTCTTTCTTGCTGCTAGGTTAGTTCTTTCTCGCTGCCAGATTAGTTGTCTTTTGTTGCTAGGTTATTTCTTTCTCGCTGCTTGGTTAGTTGTCTTTTGTTGCTAGGTTATTTCTTTCTTGCTGCTAGGTTTTATTTTTTATTTTTTATTTTAAATCAAACAACGCCCCGGAAGGGCGGGGGATTGGGCTGGATCCCCAACCTGTGCATAGATCAGGACCCCAAAATCGGGGCCCAAAATATCAACGAACAAGATACAGTAGTCTACAGAGTTTCACTAACCAAAATCAAAACAAAAAACCAAAAAGAAAAAGAAAACCGAAAAACGAAAAATAACCAGAAACTACAATACAAAGTCGATCTTCGGGCTAACAGATGCCCGAAGTAAATGTCTAGACTAATGAAAGCAAAAACTTAATCTACTAAAATCGGAAAGATGGATATCCAAGCTGGTCCATCCGAACAAGCGTGCGGAGGCGGAGTGGAGCAGTGTCAGTCTGGAATGTATGTGTGTCTGGTATGGTGGCGCCAAGGCTGGCAAGATAGTCGGCGGGTCTGTTCCCCTCACGGAAAATGTGCGTGATCCTGTGATGGACAGACCGGAGTAGAGCTCTAATACGCATAAGCGGGTGCTGAATCTGCCACGAGCCCTGGTGGCCTGAGGTCGAAAGGGTGGCGACGGCCGCAGCGTCTAGCTCGATCCAAATGTGGCTAGAGAGGTGGACAGCAATCTAAAGGCTGATCTGTAATGCCTGAATCTCTGCATCATAGCTCGAGGAGGCCTGAAGGGACGTGTGGAAGGCGGTGATGAGGGCGCCGCTATGGTCCCGGATCAAGCCTCCTCCTCCGTCAACTCCAGTGTGGCGATCAAAGGAGCCATCAGTGTTCAGCTTGACCCACGGAGAGTCAGGTCGAAGCCAAACAACAGCTCTGGGCCGAGGGTGCCGAATAGGCGGTGGTGGGGCCACCATGTAGCGATGTGGAGGCGTGCAGCCTGTCCAGTCTCGGGCCGTGAGCCTGCCCAATGCGATGAGGAGTGAAATGTGTCTCTCTACCTGCAAAACAATGTGAGAAAGCAAAAAAGTAATATCCCTATGCTTTGCACTATTCCTTTCTGTCCAGGTGAACCAAAGGATCAGACAAGGAATGAGGAAGCCCACGTGTCTAAGGTGTGTGCTCTATGAGAAAAAACCCAGAAGCTCAAAGAAACTGTATGTGGTGGGTAGGGATATATGTGTCCAATTGGCAAAATGCTCCCACACTCTCCTCACACTCTCACTCTCTAGGAAAAGATGGGTAAAGGTCTCGGTCTCATGGCGTCCAGTCTCAGAACAACACACACACCGAGAGGGGAAGGAGATCCCCTCGCGTTTAGCACAGTATCCACGGGTATCCGACGCAAGAGGAGGCGCCAAAGGAACACCGAAATAGTAGGGGTGAAAATGTCACTCCAAATGACCCGGAAGAGGAGATTAGGCCGATCCTTCAGCCTGATCTGCTCCTAAGCCGAGGTAGTAGTAAACACACCCGATGATGTAAGTCTCTACCTCATACTATCTGAACCGTCCCCCGAGATAGGGATCTGCTGGATCTGATCTAACAACTGCTCTCTAAAACCCGCACCAGACCCCAACTCCCTATCAAGCTTCCCCCTATCCTACGACCCGTCCGTCCAGAGGTCGCTCACAAGCAGGTAGGGGGAATGCGACACCTGCCTATCCCTAGACAACGGCCTATCACCTACCCACCACTCATCTCAAAAACTAACATCGCTTTCGCCCAGAACCCAGAAGGTGTGATCCTGGGCGCGTCTACCAACCCTAGTGAGGCGCAGCCACTGCCTACTATCATGATCAACAGCCGTCACCCAACAAGGGTGGTTGGCACGTC